CTCTAAAATACGATTACGCTTCATAAGCTAACGAGCTAGCTCTAATGACTAGCGTACTAGGCTACATATCCACGTCATCAGGTAAGGCTTCGTTTCGAGAAAAAATGTTTTAGTTCTAAAATCCCAAGATGATTTGGCATTTTATTGATTAAATATATATTTTTGAACTAGGGCTCATTTAGCTACCTTAGCAAACTAATTATTATGGAGCTACAAAAATTACAGTGAGCATCTAATAATGTTAGAAATTTACTATGAAAGTTTCAGAGAACAACACTATCACCAATTTATCACAAAAATTTCTACAAGTTTATATCTTACAATATTAAGCATCTTAAATTAATTAGATAACTCATGAAAATATTATAAAACTATGTGAACAAAATATACTAGCAGATAGATCATGATTTAGGAACTTAACAAAATTGGTTTCACAATTTTTGGTTAACTAAACACTTTTATATTGGATTTACAAGTTTACCATAGAAATTAAATTAGAAAATGCATTAGAAAAAGGAAAGGGCCGACAGCAACTCCTTCTGGCCCAACAGCCCAGCATGGTGTGGCTGCGCGCGCGTCACGGCGGCCCAGTATGGCCCAAGGCCGGGGGCACCCGCGTGCGTGGTTGTTTTGCAAAAAGGTCCCTGAGCTTTCAGAGATTAATACGACTACTATGCGCACTATTCCTACCGTCAGTAACTTTGCAACTAAACCCTCGGATATTTTCATCTTTACCACGGGGAGATCCTTGGAAACCGCGCATGTGCCAGCGCGGCGGCCCATGGCATAAGGCAGCTACGCCGGGCAACCTAAGCTCGCTTAGACGGGAGTAAGGAGCTGACCACCATCTACAGCTGAACGCGCAAGGATGGGTGGCGGTTAGTGACTCGGAGGCGCACTGTCGTGAGCTGCAGCGGCGAGCGGCTATCCATGGTGGTGGCATGCCTATTCCGATGAACCTACATACGTTCGATAGAGTAGAAGTGACGGATAAGCATCAGTGGCTCACCGTGGTGTATGCCCTACTAACGGTTGAAGCAGGGGAGCGCTGCGACGGTCTGGCCATGTGTGAGCTACCGGGGCGGCGATGTCCCAGGAGGGACACCCATGCGTCACCACGACTTCGGCAAGCGCCCTGGCAAAATGGCCTGAGCACCTTATAGAGGGAGTCAAGGTGAGCTCACGTTTAAGAGCAATCGAACTACTACCACTCCTACATGCCTTACCTCCCAACCTACCGATTCGGCGGCGCCCATGACCAGCGATAAGCAAAAGGCCAAATTGCCGATCGGTAGGGCATGACCGAGCTTGAGGGGAAGGAGACAACTAGCCTACTTCCTAAGCTACCCGCTAGAGCGTAGTGAAGGCTACCCTCGGTCTCTGGCTGAACACTGTTCAACGTCCGGTCGTGCTGATGTGGCGTCGCACAGACAAGATGGTGAGTGACCGGACGTTGGGCGAGTCCGATCGGGCGTGACTGGATGCGTCTGGTCATTAATTTCCACCTCTAGAAACTTACTGGAAGTGACCAGACGCTGGGGTCCTGTGTTCGGTCCTACACTATTGTGCGTCCGGTCACCACTTAAATGTACTGATGACCGTTGAGATCGGGCAATCAGCGTTTGAAGCAGGGGACACATGGCGAAGATCTAAGGATCGGACGCTGGGGTCCTACGTCCGGTCAATTCGACCGGCGCATCCGGTCACCCCGAGCTATGCCCAGTGAAGGGGTACAACGGCTCTATTTTCGTGGGGGATATAAATAGAAGGGGGTCTTGGCCTTGGGTTATTCAGCGGAGCACACTAGAGCCTTGGTGGCTTATGTGTAGTGCTTGGGAGCCCTCTAACTCACTCTAGCTTGATAGTGTTCATCCGATTGAGTGAGTGAGCGATTCTAGTGTGATTGCATCATGAGGTTGCATCGAGTGGCACTAGGTGATCGAGTTGCAAGCCGGTGGTGCTTGTTACTCTTGGAGGTTGCCACCTCCTAGACGGCTTGGTGGTGGTCTCCATTGAAGCCCACAGAAAGCTTGTGCGGTGCTCCGGAGAAGAGCTTTGTGAGGGGCATTGTGCTTGCCCCGCGGGAGCCGCGAAGAGCAACTCTAGTAGAGCGTGTCATTGAACTACCCTCACTTTTGGGGTAGGTTCTTGCGGTGCCCGACATGCGGGCTTGGCGGGTGTGCCAATTAGCCGCCGAACCACCAAGTGAGTGGTCGACACAACGGGGACTAGTGTGTTGGCAAGCACGTGAACCTCGGAAGAAAAATCATCGTGTCAACTTTGTTCTTCCCGTTAGTTTGCAATCCCCTTACACAAGCTTGTAATTGCTTTCATATATATTGTGCTTGTGTAGTTGCTCTTGTAATTAGTTAGCTTGTGTAGCTCACTAGTTACCTTCTTGCTTGTGTAGCATAGAAGTAGCTCCCTTGCATGGCTAATTTGGTTTGTGTGACCTTGTTAATCATATTGCTTAGTTTGTGTAGCTAAGTATTTGCGCTCTCTAATTTGGCATTGGTTGCCTTGTTATTGAGCATTGCTAGTGAGCTTCGGAGCTTTGTGCTTTTGCTTACTAGCATGTGTAGGAGTTCCCTCATTGCTTAAAGTACTAGTGGCATAGGTTTGTGAGACCTTGCTTCTAGAATTGGTTAGGTGATCTCTAGCTAGCCTGGCACCTTAATTGCTTAACTAGGAACTTTGCAAGGTGCTAGAGAACATAGATAGAGGGGTGTAGTCTTGGCTAGACCGATAGATTTAATTCCACACTTGTTTTGATTAGCCAGCGTGATTAAGTTTTAGTAACAACTATTCACACCCCCTCTAGTCGCCATCTCGACCTTACAGCCGGGCAACCTAGGCTTGCTTCGATGGGAGTAAGGAGCCGACCACCATCTATAGCTGAACGCGCAAGGATGGGTGGCGGTTAGTGACTCAGAGGCGCACTGTCGCGAGCTACAGCGGCGAGCAGCTATCCGCGGCGGTGGTGTGCCTGTTCCGACGAACCTACGCACGCTCGGCAGAGTAGAAGTGGCGAATAAGCATCAGTGGCTCACTGTGGTATACGCCCTACTAATGATTGAAGCAGGAGAGCGCTAAGACGGTCTAGCCACGTGTGAGCCGCCGGGGCGACGGTGCCCCAGGAGGGACACCCATGCGTCACCACGACTCTAGCAAGCGCCACAGCAAAATGTCGCGAGCACCGAGAGAGAGGAGTCATGGTGAGCTGGGGTTACTAGCAATCGAATCTACTACACTCCTACATGCCTTACCTCCCAACCTACCGATTTGGCGGCGCCCATGATCAGCGACGAGCATAAGGCCAAATTGCTGGTCGGTAGGGCATGACCGAGCTTGAGGGGAAGGAGACAGCCTAGCCTACTTCCTAATCTACACCGCTAGAGTGAGGAATTTAATGGCGAAGTCGCTGACGCTAGGAGGAAAGGAGGAGCGGTGACTCCGCGCTCAGCATGGTTGTGGGGAGGTCACACGAGTGAGTTCGAGCGGATTAAGACAAGGTAGCCTCGATTGATGGCAGCAGTATGAGCATATGTGCACGGATGATGAGACCAAGAGATTTGTCACGATGCTTTTGAATTGGAGTGGCCCCACTCGAGCAGGGACCAACCATGGCGGCTAGCGAGTCAGGGCGAGCAGAGAGGAATCACCATCACCCTATGACTAGGGTCGGTTGACCCAGACATGGCGGCGGCGGCACAGCTCACGGTAGTTGAATCACAGGGCAGGACGGCTGCCACGTATGCACAACAACAATGGCCTGATGTTCTTTAGCTTCGGCCCGCACGTGGCTCAAGTGATCAAGATGGCACATACTGCGTGACAATGGACGACGTGATAAACGCGACTACGACGGCGCCTCACGGCGAGGCCGTAAGCGGCTACACCGGCGTAGTGCAAATGGCAAAGACATCGCAAGAAAGACTCGTGAGCACGTGAACCATGGCATGGCTCGACTGGCTCGACACGAGGTAGCCATGACCCGCTCGGCCCAACGCATAGCACGGGCGGCGACGAGACAGCCATCAGAAAGGTCACGTGAGGTGCGCGCATGCAACAGTGCGTGCACCCCCGCACGATGTCACACTCCCGAGCATGGTGACCACGCACACCGGACCAGCCAGCCCAAGGTGAGGTCGTCCACGAATTTTAAAGCGAAGCAAAGACGGTTGGTTACCTCGATTGAAACTCAACCAATTTCGTTGACCCAGAGCCAACACTGCCAGCCATCTAGCGAAGCAATCATCATGACCATAGAGCAACCATAGAGGGAGATAAAAGGATGCCAACATGGGCTCTTCGCTGGAGTGCCGGTTCACGAACAGAGCGCCAACAATATGGTTTACAGCGCGTTCCAACGAAGTTTGGGCAATTTTTACGAGAGCAACGTGACATCCAACACAACTTCGACCTACACCATGCTCATGTACTTACTTTGATGCAATCAACAATATCAAAACATGCAGCTAGTGTTTAAACATTTTAGCTAGAATTTAAATGTCAAAATAGCATTGTCTTACTACTTTTCCATACTTAGAAAAGTTAAGGATTTTAGTTGGGGCTAAGTAACCATTAACTCTTTTGTTGTAATTTTTAATAGGTCTAAACCTTGTTAACTTCAACCAACAAATACTTCATGTAATAGTCCATACCTTATACTAACGCATATGAGCAAAATATTTAAGCACCATTTAACTATTTTGCTCAATATAAATCACCAAAAAAAGTATTTTAACAATAGTTCAAGTGTTTGCCGACTTAACGAAAAAAAGAGCTTATCTTAACATCAAATTTGATTGTTTTTAGCTCCCAAGAGCACTAGTTAACACTATTTATTTTGATTTTTCTCAACCACGAAAGTGAGTCACATAGGATTCGCTTATCATTTCAATGCATGCGTTATAAATTTTAAAACTCAAACTTATTTGGCTAATCCTCTTGGACCTAAATCTTAGTGCTAAGCAAGCTCGTAACATTGGGGTGTTACATCATCCACCAAGAAATCCCCTTTTGCAAGCAGCCAGAGACACATACAATGACTTGAAAATGTTGCCATCTAGGTTAAGGTATAATGTGTTGTTAGGATTGGTCTTCCTCAACTCATGTGCATAATCCCAAAGCATGTTGTACTGTTCCTCTTCATCTCCCATCACCATCTTCATAGCCAACCTTCTAGCTCTAGCAAGCTTGGTCCTTGATGGTTTCAGATTCCACTTCTTCTGCACTGTCCTAGCAAAGTTGGACAGAGACATATTTTGGTCTGCTTTGAATGTCTCAATGTATTTCTCAACAAGCCAAGTAGTTGTGCAACTCTTCAAGACCCATTGCTTCTCGCAACTATGTTTCCCAATATAAGTCTTGATCATCATGCCATTAGACCTCCTATCATATGATGCATATAGATACCAAGGACATCCTTGTGAACAGTGAGCACCTAGCCTTTCTATTCATTCCTAGGCATCTTGATGTCCACTGCTCCTAAGATCAGTATTTAGTTATAGCCTTCCTTATCATCTCAATAGTCTCAAACATCATACCCACCTTAAACACTAGGTTGGCCATGTCCTTTGGTTTGAAAGACTTGAACTTGAATGCTGGTTCACCTTCACCATCAGACTCAGCTAATTGTAGCCCATCATCATCAGTTGAGTCCTCATCTTCTTGATCATCATGAGCAACTAATGTTGTTCCAATACTGGACCTTCCTGCTGCCCTCTTGGTTCCCTTAGCTATTTTCTTCCCTTTGGCAACACCTTCATCTGTCACATGTTCATCAACATTGTCAACAAAAAGGTCATCATCATCCTCTAAGTCATAATCACTATCATGAAAATCGCTATCATCACTTGAGTTGTCCTGTGAATCTTCAGGGCCTTCATCATATGCTGCCTCATTGTTCCTCTGCCTGCTCTGACTCTTGGAAGGGCTAATCACTCTAGGTAAGGATGCAACAGGGTTTGCAACTACATCATCCCAATCTAAGCCTGATGTAATGGCCTCATGATCAAAATACACCACAAGTGTCTTCACCCTGTCCACAACTGAAGCCATCACTAAAGTGTCTTTATCTAAAACTATCGCCTGAGGCCATCTGGGAAATCCTTTCCAGAAAGTAACCACCACACCCTTAACTGTGGATTCCTTGGATAGTGAAGCATGAAACTGAGGTCATGAAAGCTCTGTGGGCACCAAGTTTTGGCTTGAACATGATCGATAAAGCTCACTCTCTCGTCAAGGTATGACCGATTAGTACCATGACCAACAAAGAAACCATTGTGATGTATCTCAACTGTGAATTGATCACTAATTCCACCTACATGAACAACAACAAAACACATTCAGGCATCCAATTCGACCTAGAACAACCAAATCATAAACCCTAGCCTACGCAAAAAAAAAAGCTTCGAAATGACCCAATCCATGACTCCGTCTCAACAAATCGGCACTAAACACTATGAAACACAAGCAAGATTGGACCTTGAGGCACTTATCAGAAATCCAAGGCGGTGGCTCCCTTTCCGCCAGACTCTGCCTTCATCCTGCGGTTCCACCACGATCGCCGAGGAACAATGGCCTCGCCGAGCGACACTCCTATCACAATGCCAATTTCACTCCACGGTGGCCTCTCTCCTCGCCGCCCGTCTCTTCGCCTCCAGCGCGACGAACTCGAGAGCAAAACCCTCGGTCGGGTGGGGAAAAGGAGGATGTGGGGGGCCTTTCTGCATATTGGCAAAGGAGGCTGCGGGTGGGCGCTGCCTCACGCGCCGCTCACGTGACCTAGCTGGGCGGGTCAGGCCACCCTGGACACGCCACATCAGCATCCATCATCTGATTTGGCAACATGGGCGTGGGGTGAACCAAAACTCAAGAATAGTGTGCCAAAAATGTATTTTCCAAGTTTCTGGACCTATCTGGCACATCTAAACAAGTTTGTGGATCTACGGTGTATTTAACTCTTACCGTTACTACACTCTGCGATGGACGCTTCCAATCCAATTAATTAAATATAAAAAGAGAAGGAAAAAACAAATACTCAATTAACTAACCATGATTTGTCACCTCGCATCTGCATGTGCACGACAACTAACCCTTTCTCTGCTTCCCGTGGCAAGTGGAACCACGCGTCCCTGGGACCAGATCTACCTCTAAAATGGTCAACTACATTTGCTCTGTTGCAAGTAGCATAGTACGTATGGCACAAGACGGAACACTTATACTCAAAAGCAAATGTATACACAATTTAATCACACTTGGGCCTCATTTTTTTTTTGAAATTGTGCCATAACTTTGGTTTTAAACACTTAAGGGTCTTTATCACTGGCTTTGCTGTAAGCATGACTTCCTTAGCTAGCGAATTAGAATCTTTCTAGCAATAAGATCAAGACTATACCTTTTCATCCAAAAACCACTTCTTCATATGATTCAACAAAGGTTTGGTCCTCTTGGTACCATGACTCTTGATAGTTTAATTAGTTTCTTGGCTTAATGCAAGTACTATTTCTTCACTTTAGCCATGGTACATCGACCACCAAGCAGTAATGTACTTTAGCATCCACTAGCAATAGGGCTGCATGACAATGAAAATATGAAAGCAATTCACCAAAACATCTATATTTTACATATTTATTGTGAGAGGCTTTGAAAAAGGCGAAAGGATAAAGGCTTTGAGATCCTTTGACCTAACAAAATCAAAAGGACTTAAATATTTCGGGCGCTAGTTTAGATGACTAGATAGGCATCTAGACTTGGGACCTCTACAAGAAGCAAAATAGACGGGGAGTTGAAAATGATGGTGTCACCCGGTAACCTATAACCGCATTTTTACTCTAACTAAAACCTAACAACTGATATTAAGACTACTCTGATTAAAAGGAATTTGTTATGAGTTTTTAGAGATTACCATGGAAGAGCTAAATTTGTTCTAATTCTATAGTTCGACGGTGAAGGATACCTAGTTTGCGAGTTGGATGATAAAAACCAGACTTTGACCACAACTCAATAGTTAAAAAAAATAGACCTCTTCCAAGGAAGAACGAAAAGAGTGAGCTTCATTTTGGTGCAAAGGGCTTCAACGAATTCACACTACGGTACCTCAACAATGACGCTACAGTAGATTTGTCAGAGAAGTTGAAGCTATTTTTGAGGTGTGCCAAAAAAGTCCTTAGCCTTTTCACCATGAAACAGTTAGCGCTGGAACTAAGGCCTGAATAGTGAAATTGGTTTCTCTTTAAGATATGAGTTGCACGTGCCGTCTCTTAAGGCCCAATTTGCTAAGCATGGTTACGAGAGGCAGGTAGTGCCTGCCAGGCTGCCACAGACGGACAGTTGCATCTGCCAGGCGGCTCCGTTTATCTGGGTCCGCTACTGACTCTCAGTATGCTTGATCAAAAGCAATATGTTTCCAATATTTGCTCGCTTTGTGTCGATTCCAAAGCGCAATTGATCCATGGTCTAGATCTGCATCGGATTCCAATGTTTCGTTTCGTCTGCGGCGTGCGTGCTTAACCAAGCCGGCATGCATGCACATGCACGCACCTGTCCAGCGCTCGATAACGACCGGCACTGCTCTTTTTGCGTAGGGTGGTCAGATAAACGAATTAGATGAATCGATTGGCCATCGAGTGCCACCTCGCCAACTAAACAAAAAAGAAAAGGTGGGATTAGTTAATAACCAACTCGCCAATTGAAGGAACGCACATAGTCACACTACTAAGAACTTGCAGCAACCAGAACTAATATAATGACCCCTCATGTCATCGATTCCTGGCAGCACGCCAGCACTACTGCTCTTCATGGAGAATTGGAGATGGCCGTGTATACGGCATGCAACATTAGCGTGCGTACGTACACGTCGCTAATGTCTTGGGTTATACCCTAACCGGCCCTTGAAATGGCCATTTCATCATGCATGGAAATATCAGTCCTGTCCACTGTCCTTGTCAATACACATAAAACTAGCTAGCTGATGAGCGCTGTGCACCTGTCGTTTGTTGGATACTTGGATCGGAGTCACCATCAGTTGATTATTATATTAGCAAGTCGATGGCGACGCTGCTGGCTAGCTAACGAGCATCCATGGACAACGATGGCCACTGCTCTTCATGGACATTTTTATACTTTTATATTTAGGTAGTCTTTGAATGGTCTGTGGATGAAAACGAACCAAGGACCAATGAATCCAGCGGCGTTAGAGCGTCTCAGGAGACTCTCCGTATTCTTTTCTTTGTCGAAAAACTAACCTCCAACAGTTTCTCAAAATAATTATCTAAATATAGCCATATTCTATTCCATATTTTTCGCTAGCCAAAAATAGAAGACAAGAATACTCCTTCCGTCCTATAATATAGTGTATTCTAGCATTCAAAATTTGTCCTCAAATATAATGCATTTTAGAGGACAGAAACTAGTTTTGCATTAAATATTTTCCATTTATCAACCAATCACAATCAATCATATTGATGATAACGCCCTGATTAGAAAATAAAATGAGGGTACATACGCTTTTATATGTTCTCTCTTAATTTGTCCTAAAATTCCTAGAATGCGCTTATATTACGGTGGTTGAGGGAGTAGCTCTCTAGAGCGTGAATAAGATATAGAAAAACTGTTGAAGAATAAAAGATATAGAAAATAATTTTTATGTATATGACTCTCCAAATGATGATGATTTAGAAAGTGAGATTTAGAAAGGCTCATGTAGATGCTCTTCCTTCACCAACGGAGAAAGATGGTGGCATTAAATAATTGGAGAAGATCGATCCCCAGGATATTTGCATACATGTTGGTATTAGAAAGGAACGGGAGATTATGGCGTGTTTTTGGATCATATTCATTCATGGAACAAGTTGGTAACTGATGATAACAGATACGTATCACCGTGTGTGCGCAGAAAGAACAACCCAGCCGTCAGCCGGGCTTCTTTACTTCAGTTCTGTTTCCTTTTGGCAAAGCTTGTGCTTCAAGTCCAAATGATCGGTTAACCACACTTTAAACGGCACCTTTTGCAGCATGCTATGTTTGGTTTACTATTAAATGTTTCAGTTGTTACTTTGTTGTAATTTTGTTTCTGAGTTCAAACTTATGTATGCTTGGTTGAATTTGTTTGGTTTAGCAAGACTAGTATCGAGATTATTTGGTGAGCGAGCTGGAATTTGCAGCTCAGCTAAATCCGTTCGGACTGATGCTGTCTTTTGCATCTCCAACTTCTGATCGTAAAGCTAGTGGCCCCATCATAACACGATGCAAGAAAAATATACGTACTCCGCATATTTAAGAATACATCAGCGAATCAAATAGTCAACGCACAATTGCTGAACCAGGGAAGCACCTACCTAGGTAAACCTTCAGGTCCAAGTAGTTGAGATAATCCACCTGACAAAAAGATGAGAAATCCAGACAACCACTGCGGCAGTGCTCACTATTGGATAACGCATCTGGGGTCCCCCACCGTTCTTACGTGAAAGGGTAGAAGTTGGAGAAGAGCAGACAACCTAGGAGAATGTATGCGATGAAATAGACACAGATCAAGTAGCCCCATCTTTTGGAGCGGCGGCTCGGAGAAGCCAAAATGTGCGCAGCAGCCCAGTAAATCGGCGGACCAGCGGATAGAAACCGTGTGGACACCTGCATAAAATGAACGGAAGTTGGTATTCAAGCCATGGATTCAGATAAGCTTTGCCTTAATGAGGAATAGCATATATTACTGACCTGGACATGCATCACAAAGAAGGCTGTGAATGTCATGAAGACCAGATGCAGAACGAATGGAAGTAGTAGTATGGAGCACGCATCCTGATTCTCTTCCATATTTTGGTTAGGTGACATGGCATCATGGAACGTTGCAGAAGCTGTCTCGGTAGCAACTGATTTTCTCTGTTTAACCGTAGAGTTTCCTGTCCAAGAAATATTGTAAGGTTTAAGGCTTTATGTTATGTCCAGCTATTCTTCTAAAAAAAGGTCTATCTAGATATCACTTCAATATTGTACGCTTCTCACTATATAAAAAAATACATGCAATTAAAAAAAAATGTTAGGTCAGTTTAAATAGACTTGACATCAAGATAGATGAGCAATAGCCTCTCAAAACAAAGTAAAATGTAGATTGTTGAGATTGCAACAGTACCTTGTGCTGTCTTAGTGAGGCCAGCAGAAAGTTCACTCAAAATTGTCACATCATTGGATCTTCTATATGACACAACTGACCTTTCCTCGAGAGCAGTGATAATCTGCTTGTGGATGCTACTTGTTTGGAAAAGTCGGTGAAGCAATTTTGAGTAATGGACAATAGAATAAACCGCAAGAGAAAGCACTGGTGAAGCCAAGAGAAAGTTCGGTAGCTGCTTCACTTGGAAGTACCTCAAGAAACCAACTCCCCTAAAAACAAACCATAAGTAACTTATAAGGAGCAGTTAAGAGTTAAGACTTAAGGATGCTAGAGAGAGGCAAAATATGTTGTCTTATGAGAGAAAACTCATACAACATCGACATCCTTGAGAAATGGTGAACACAAAAATATTTCAATTAAATTTAAAGTAACACAAAGGAGGATGGGGTTTCCATAGTGTACCCAATGTTCATCTCAGCAGATGTGTTATAAAACATGGTTCGTCATAAGCAAAGGACTATGCCACCAAGCACGTGAAATAGAATATAGGGTGAATGAAGGAAGTCAAATTCCATGAAAGATGTATCCAATATGTATTTCTTATGGATACAAAAAATCATCAATGAAAGTATGCATACAGCCAGCACATAATCGTACGGTGATGCAAGACTAGCCTAGTATAATTCCAGAGGTAAGCATAAAGGATGAAGAGGTGCTAGTTTTGACAGATTATTATGCCAATACCAATTCAAACTATTTTCATATAGAAACCATTACCAGTAGTGGCTCTGAATGAATCCATACAACAGGGGAACTTTTGCTTTGCACCACGGCCTCAATTCCTCCGAACTCCCATGTACGCATATGTTCAAATATCCATATGCTTGGAAAGCAAAGAAAGGTACAAATATGAAAATGGAGCGCAAAGCTCCAATCACAAGGGTCTGCATCGCCAACTGGCCAAAACAAAGAGAAGTTATTAAACAAGCATGTCTTTGCTGATTACTACTTATGGAAACGAAGGATAATTTAATGCAATATGGTATGTTATTTAGTGTCTCTTCATGCCAAATACTATTATTCATAATAATAACTGAAGTGGAACATACCAAGGGCCTTTTCTTTTGGGCAGTGGCATCATATGCTTGTAGCAAGGCCTGAAAACAGAAATAACCAGCATTAAGTGCTCCATTGGACCTAGCTGAACCAGACAGAGCGAGCATTATCACTGCAACAGTATTAGCACCCGAAAACAGGTAGAACATGCCTCCAAGAGAAAAAAGTGCATACAGACTTTCTGAATACCTGCCAAAAACAATAATTTATCTGTTACGATATGCAAAGCACATGAGTTTCTTTTCTTGTGTTGGTCAAGGAAAAGAATATTACAATGATGAGAAGAACACAGAAGCAGGGTTGAAACAAAACAGAACAGATGCTCGGTATGCTGCTTTCTGGTCCTTCAAAATTAGCACAGACAATCTGCACCAACAAGAATTGGTAGTTGCCTTAGTAATGCAGTGATGCTCAGAAAGGGTTGGTCTAACTTTCGACATTTATGACCATATGATCAGATAGTATCACGAATAGTGAAAAACTGCAAACTGTAGCCACTAGAAAATCCTTCAATGGAATCAACATTTGGAAAGAAAGAAATTGTTGCATCTTCCAGCATGCCAGCCTCGTGCCATCAGAGGTCACCGGCTCACCACCAAAGGATAAACAAGACAAGTGCAAAGGAGACATGGGAGTTTTTCGGTCTGAGTACTTGTGTTCACCGCTTTGGGCAATTTTTTCTTTCTGTGTTCTTGTGTGCTTCGGAGGCCTCCCTCCTCCTGGCACTGGCAGCTCAGGACAAATTTTCACTAAAAACTTGCTTTCTATCTTAAGCGAATAGGCAGAGCTCCTGCCACCTTTCTTTCAAAAAACAAAAACACCAGAAACAGATTGCGCTAAACTTCAAATGATTGCTTTTGCATTACAACTACCAGAATATACTTTAACAGGTAAGAAGAAACTAATCATCACCACAGAAGGGCCCAGTTCAGTCCACAAGCACCTCACCAAATATTATCCACCAAAGAACACCAACTATTGAACTGCGCAAAAGCTATGATTTGGCATCACCAATGAAGTACAGGAAACACGGCTACTGCATTCCAGTGTGCAATGCTCTCAAGCGTAGTCAAATATCGAAATGTTTGGATACCCAACAGAACCAATAATTGGCTACAAATAACCCCTAAATAGGTGCATAACTGTAGTACTAGAGTTCATCTAACGCATAGAAACAGTGACAATCTATGTGAACACGAAAACAGTAAAGTTTATCAGACGACGAACACCTGTAGAAGTAGGCCGCGGCAGCAACGAATGCGACGTTGTTGAGGACATAGCCGGAGAGCACGAGAACGGCCCTGTACCCTAGTATCGGCACTAGCGGCGCAAACACTGCACGAGAGAAGGATCAATCACCACAACCAGATCAGATAAAGCGCACAAATTGACATCCGAACGAGGACGAGGCAGGGAAGTACGACAAGCGGGCTTACGCGATCGTGCGAGGAGCGCGAGGGAGGCGGGGAGGAGCGGGAGGAAGGCGAAGGACTGCTCGTACTCGTAGCCGCACTCCGCGGGGCGGGCGAAGTGGACGCCGTCCCACACTGCCAGCGACGAGATAGCGGTGGAGACGGGCGTGTTGGGATCCGGGGACAAGGGGGTAGAGGAGAGGCAGGGTGGGTTGAGAGTGGCGGAGGTGTCGTAGGGGCGGAAGAGGAGGCGGGCGAGCAGGTAGAGGGAGAGGACTAACACGCGGGAGGCCGCGGCGAGACGCACGACGCCGGCGACCAGCGGCGCCATGGGATGCGCGGCGGGGAGAAGCGGCGATCCGTGTGCTGCGGCGGAAAGGCGGTCTGGTGCGGTGCATCAACAGCAGCTGCGGGCCTGCGGCGTGGCCGCGCGGCAGAGCACCAAGTGCAACGGACTTTCACATTTCCGGCCTGGCCCAGCCCAGCCCACGCTACGGCGCTTCTCTACGCCATGAGCCCATGAACCAAACAACGAGCAGCACTGGATGGCTGGCTGCTTGGCTAGTTGCACTTGTGCGTCATCCCAAGACTCCATATCCGTATTCTAAAGTTTCTCAAAAAAAAAAAAACGTATTCTAAAAAAAAACTTCATATCCGTAAATTCCAAACTTGTGATTTGTGAAACTTTCGGTCCAACACTCCAACTCTCATCCATCATCAACCCATCTAAGTCATTTGTACGAAAGTTATTTGACATACTAAATAACTTCAACGCTTCACGTTATCTAGTGGTTTTGTGGAAAAAAATTCAATGGATCCAGTATCCACCCAAACTGGGTGCATACCACCACTCGATAGGTGACACGTGTGCGTGTGTTCCAGGGAGTGCTCCGCACCGCACGAAAAAATTCAATGGATCCAGTCATGACGGTTGGTGTTCAACTCGTTCTCTGCTTCACAAGGCGAATAGGATCTGCAGCTGGCACACGTGTCACCAATCGAGTGGTGGTATGCACCCAATTTGGGTGGATAGTGAGGCCGCGTTGGGCTGGCTGGCCAGCTCTCTCACAAAGGCACTGTTCATACGAACAGTGTTCTCAGATAGAATAGTATTTTTTTCTCACAATAATCAGCCGGAACAGTATTTTAACTTATTTTTCAGTCCTGTCGAATAGATCCTAGATCCACTGGATTTTTTCCTGTTTTGTCGGACCAGCTAGGCTCCGATGCCACGTGGACAAAAAGCAATAAGACGGTGGCTTGCAAACTGTCAAAAGTTACTTGTAGGAGTTGGTACGTCATCTGATGAATGTTTGGTTGTCCTTTCTAAATTTATAGTCGTTGTCTCATTGATGTTTGACACATGTATGAAGTATTAAATATAGATTAATTACGAAACTAATAGCATAGTCTGTGACTAATTTGCGAGACGAATCTTTTAAGCCTAATTAGGCCATAATTTGACAATATTTTGCTACAGTAAACATGTGCTAATGACGGATTAATTGGGCTTAAAAAATTCATCTCGTGAAGTACTAACGGATTATATAATTTATTTTTTTATTAGTATCCAAACACCCTATGTAATATCCTTCCAACATACCTTCTAAATTTTAATAGCGAGACCAAACAAAACCCCCCCCAATCTATGTCGGAGTTCCACGTTGGGTGAAAAAGGGCCAGCTTTACCACGTGTTTTCTGATGCCTACCCATCCCTCTCAAGTACCTTGGTCGGGAATCTCTGCCGCATGTCAGGTGTGTCCTGTCTTTGGTGATTGTTCATATATGTCATGTATTTCCGGCACTACTCCGACAGGACTTTTCAGTGAACAAATATTATTTTTCTCTCACAATATATCAACATAAACATCAGTATAAGCTAAATTTTAGTGAAATAAATGCATTAGTGCTATTCTAAATAACTTTAAATAAAAATATCACTGGCTACAAAGTCATAGAACTTGATGAGACTTGCAATTTTTTGTAAGGAGTTACTCTGTCTAATTCCATGTGACCATTTATAAAATCTAAATTAGTAGTCCATAAATGTGTTCCACGATTTTAAATAAAATTACATACTCTAAGATTGCATATTTAGGATCCCAGAACTTCTATATTTCTGTGTAGGCCCATTTCTTTAAAATCAACCCTAACTTTAAAAAAAACTTGACCGGTGGGGTACAGACCGCCTCCACGGTATTAGGCGCCTACCGGACCTGGGCCGTGCATCACTCAAGGCGCGCACACACGGTCCACAGGCCGAACCAGACTTGACAGGAGAAGATTCCCAGCCGACGACCGAGAAAACCCCCGAACCCTGACTACTGCTGCGAGGGTTTTTTTACCCCAGCTTGAAATTCGCCCCGGCCGGGGTTCAAACTCAAGACCTGGGGGTGCCGCTGGAGTGACTAGACCAACCGGAATAGCATCCTTTGGCAAATCAACCCTAACTTTCAATACGGCGAACTATCATAAGACCATTGTGATTTCGGTGGTTTTGTGAGTCATATATGTATCTAGTATTTTCGATGGTTGTGTGAGTCAATATGTATCTAGTACTCCTATTTACTTACCACCAAATATTGTTTCACAAAATTGTATCAACTCAATTCATTAAAACACTCCAACGCCCTGTTCGTTTCGCTGAAATTTGGCTTATGTTGTTGCTTATGCTGATTTGTTGTGAGAGTAAAACACCGTTCGTTCGCTAAAAAGTACTGCTAAAGAGCAGGGCCAATCTTTTCTCACCAAACATATGCACTAGAGCTGAGATTTTCACCTATGATTCACTATAGCTGCATAGAAAACCTTCCCTTCCTCAAGATGTGTAATTATGTTTAGGGATCGCATTTAGATAATTTGAATCGTAGTCCTCATGAAAATAGTTGCAAAAATGCTAAAGGTGACGCTGGTTGGTGCTAGGGATCTAGATACGTACTTGTGTCAGTGGGATGGCTCTAATAAGGCCTTCTTTGGAATACGATATTTTTTTCATGTTTCTTATGTTTTTCAATAAAAATGATTCCCGTAAAATTCATATATGATTCATATGAAATTTCTACGTTTTAAAGGGGATATAAATCTATGTATACAACTAGAGTTTGGTAGTAAGCTATGTTGGATTGATCTCAGGCTCGATCAAAGGGACTGAATCCTAAGGGGCTTAATAGCTATATTGACGGTCCATGATCGGTGGAACTATTAGACCCTAATAATGGCCTGGTCCATACTGACCCATTCAATAAGACAGAGAGACTGAATGAAAGGTTGTACATGCTTCCTCTCTCTCTAACCAAATCATGTCTAGTGGAGAACGGTGTCAGCTCTAAAGACCTACGCCAACCACCGGCCGCCCTTGCTAGTGTTCTTCTCCAACGACAGCGTATGCCTGCTACCCCAAGCAGGCACGTGGACTTTAGCGGCTCTCTGGGCATCACCCATCCAAAGGTATAAACTAAGAGATCCTAATCCCTAAGTACTAGGTGTTCTAAAGGATTTTGAAGCTTTATTTCCTCATTTATGCTCCGATACCACCTATGGTAGAACCGCCTAATCTAATGCCTCTCAGGAGTACTTGTCTTTTATTAGACACTAAGTACTCAAGGGAGAACACTAAATTATGCAGTTTCATCGAGCACAGCCCAAGGGAGAACCCAGAAATCCATATTTTTCCATTAGCATCATAAATGAGAGAATAAAACTTACAACATTTTTAAGTCATTTCTTACATCACTTTTAATACAACATCAGAGTTATGAACAATTTGATTTAACAGTGGAATATAAACATGTGATTAGAGTTACAGCGAAAATAAATATCTATTCATGACATAATGAAGCATTGATATATAAGCTATGATAACAGATTATAAAACTTCTATTTATAAAAACCTTTGGTGAGAGTTATAAATAAAAACTATGATCGCAGCTGTAAAGGAATCCCCTCCGAGCCCACCGGGAGGAATCCACACATAAGAGTCGACTCTAGCATCCGCCTATCACCGCAAATGGGGAAAATGAAACCCGAGTACTCAATTGTACTCAACAAGACTTACCCGATAGGAGAAAATAAAAAGACTCCAAAGGGTATTCATGGCTATCGGCTTGTGGGTTTATTGCATCTGCAAGAGGCATTACTAAGCGTGTGTCCTTATATTTAATTTTATTAGCAGTCATCATTAGTTCATTAACTATCCATTTTAGGTAAGCACCTATGCTACTTTCAAGCATGTGGTAAAGCAATCAGAATCATTTTATCCTTTCTAAGTTTCAGTTTTTACTACAGTGCTAGACTGTAGACAAGCCGTACCAGATTGCCCAGTGATTCACGAATCAATGTGCCTAGCTGGGTACCCCGAAACACACGCCCTGCTTGTGCCCCAGGCACAAACAAGACCAACCCACCACTCTCCTATCGAGGGGTCCAGGTCCCCGTCCAAACTTGGACTCCAAGCCTCCACACCAGAGTCCCGGACTCAGAGTGGTGCTTAGACCTCCACCATCCCCGCCTCCAATCAGTCGGTCCGAAAAGAGCCGGAACCCATGACAAGAGAGCAACGAGCCTTTTCTGCTCCTATAAATAAGTATGTGCTCAGGATAATAAGACTATGACCTGCCTAGAACCCAATGCAACAACCAGTCCTTAACCGACACAGACGGAACAAGTGCAATCCAAGCCTCGCTCAAATGCCAAACCAAATCCAGATCCAAAGTACCATTTCGTCCGGTCTCCAATTATCATTCATATATATTTTTCAGGTGATAATAATATAATAGCAATAATAATATCTTTCCTATCTCTCGTGAGTGACTGACAATCACTTGACTTCTACCGGAGTCCTGTAGCATACCAATCTACATGATCCTGTCGTACTAGTAAGACTCATAGGATAAGGATATATATATGCAAGTGGGTTTCATTCAACTCCTTAAACTTAATGCACAAGCATAAATTAAAGTGCATAATAATAGGGGTTATGCACCGGGGCTTGCCTGGGTAACATATAACCAAAAGTTAGTATTCCATCTTGGCGACATGATCTCCCAAAGTACCATCTCACCAGCAACTCCCGATGACTCCGTGATCCATCGACGTCCCTATTATGGTATGCAATGCGATGCAGAGATGATGCAACAGTTAATTAACAAGGCAACAACAACTCTTAAAACAGAGTATATACTACGAACTAACAAGCTCTAGCTCTAATAACTAATATACTAATCTATGTATCAACATCATCGAGAAAGGTGTTATTTCCCAATGAGTGTTTTAGTTATACCAACCCAAGTTGTTTCTTTATTTAATTCTATCGATTTAATATTTATTCAAAA